ACAACAACTCCTCTCATTAATGGCTCACCAGGCAGCCTTATCCAACGACCCAATCACGAACAAGACGGCCCAAACAACCGTCACATGCGTTTACCAGGCCCACATATCGGGCTTCTGGCGCAATGTGACCATCTTATGGGCCAAGAACCTCATGAACTACTCCCTCAGCATCTCAATCGACAGCACCGAACAAGAAAACCTCGTCTACACATCCAAAATCGACCTAAAGCCCTGGCACTTCTGGGCCAAAAAGGGCTACAAAACGCTCGACGTCGACGGATGCCAGCTGGACGCCTACTGGGATCTCCGGTCAGCCAAATTCGCCAGCGGGCCCGAGCCCTCGTCAGATTACTACGTTGCCCTTGTTTCTGAAGAGGAAGTCGTGCTCTTGCTTGGAGACCTCAAGAAGAAGGCCTACAAACGGACCAAGGCCCGGCCCACGCTCGTTGAGCCCATGATTTTCTACAAGAAGGAGAATGTTTTCGGGAAGAAATCGTTTTCGACGAGGGCCCGGTTTGACCAGCGGCGGAAAGAGCACGAGATTGTGGTGGAGAGCTCGATAACGGGCCCTCGGGAGCCCGAGATGTGGATTAGCATTGATGGGATTGTGTTGGTGCATGTGAAGAATCTGCAGTGGAAGTTTCGGGGGAATCAGACGGTTCTTGTGAATAAAGTGCCGGTACAGGTGTACTGGGACGTGCACGCGTGGCTGTTTTGTCCAGCTGGCGCTAATCACGGGCTTTTTATATTCAAGTCGGGGGAGGGGGAAGGTGGGGAGAGTGATGACGAGAACAGCAGCAGAGGGGACGATAGCGAGTGTAGCGGGAATAGCAAGTATTACTCGACGCAGAGCTATTCGAAATGTTGTACCGATTTTTGTCTTTTTCTGTATGCGTGGAAGATCGAGTGAGGACTGTGTGTGTCGGGAGCTCGTCTGAAAACAGAAGTCGTCTGCGAATAGAATTAAGAAGCTACTACATACAATGTGTTGAAATTATGTGGAAATGTAGAGCATTTATGATTTTTTGAAGGTTTTTATATGCTTCTATGAAATTCAAGGTGTATGTTATATAGATGATGCAAGTGGAAAATTTAAATGAGGAATGGAGAAAGGGGTAATTTAAGTTGTCCAAATTGATTCATGTAATTATAAGTTTCCTTTTGTGGTTCTCATTAGCTAATGCAGTATCATATTGGATGGATGTTTATGCATGATGTCATAGTTGTACATGTAAAATATCCTATTGGAATTTTATGCTAGAAAATGATGGATGGATGAACTAGAGAGTGAGCTAGAAGCATGTGATATCATCCCTAAAAAGGTAAACAATAGACCAAACCAGCATTAAGAGATCAAAGAGAAGGCAAAAAACCGATGGACAGGCAGAAAAAAAATAAATAAATAAATAAATAAATAAAAGTGATAGTAACTGATCAAATTCATAAATTCATTTTGCCAGAATTTGGTCACTGTTACATGATATAATGATAAAATTCAACT